CATTTTACTGATTACGTTGGAAATGAACAGTCTGGATTTTATCATCATCATCAAGAAGATGAGGAGTAAGTACGCACATAGTTCATTTTCTTTTAAAGAATAATTGTTTCTTTAAAATATCTTTAATCTTCATGATTCAATGATAAACATTTGATTATTAGAAATGCTTCCGCTTTAACTAATTATCAGCCAATTATAAAGTTAGAACAATCTATTTTATATATTGATCCAAGGCTTTTTGTTGAACATCATCAGCATCATCATCATCATCAGCAACAACAACACAATCAGGATAATCAACAAGAACACTATGAGCATCAAGGCTATCAAATGCACCAAGAGCAGCAACAACTACAACAAATTTCATACAAATATGATCACGGTTTATTAAGAATTAATAATAATAGTGAGGATCATAATAATATTATTAATGGTAATGGTAGTGAAAACAATAATGAAAATAATGAGAGTATTGATATTAATAATAATGATACAAATTTATTAATTGATAATAATAATAATAATAATGACAACAATAACATTATTTCTTTACAATCATCATCATCATCATTATCATCAATAAATGAAACAAACGAAAATCCTAAATGTTTTTATTGTCGAACAAATGATACTCCAACTTGGAGAACAGGAAGTGAAGGAGAGCGCTTATGGTTTGTTATTACTATAATTGATTTATTTTTTCGATTTGTAACTTATTCATTTTATATATCATATATAAATAAAGTAATGCGTGTGGACTTTAGTTGAGTGAATTTTTTCCTTCTCTTTTTTGTTTTTTTTTTCTATTAATTTCTAGGAAAAAATAATTAAATTTTCTTTCTAACTTCTTATTTAGTCATAAAAAATATGGAACGCGTCGTCCAACCGAGAACGTGAACGGAAAAATTAAAATAAAACGTAAAAATACTAAGACTCAAAATCACATGTGTATTAATTGTCATGTGACCCAATCACCTTGTTGGAGAAAATTTGATGGTCAAAGATTATGTAAGGAATGTTCATAAAATTTCCCATTTTATATAAAATAA